CTGCCCCCAAGAAGCAGGGGAAAGGCAAACTTCATCTACAGTATTTCACAGAGATGCCTCCACCAGTCAGGCATTCCTCACATTCTTCATTGATGGACAGTCCCAGCTGGGACAGCTGAAGAGCATATTAACAACTCAATAGAAAAAGCCTGACCTCTGAGAATCCTTTCCTTTTCTCCAAGCTACTTTCTTTTGAAACAAGCCCCACCAGAATTGAGCCACAGAACTTTCCTGTGAACTTCTCATGAATACACAGTTTTCATCACTGGGTTTTCTCACAGTTGAGTGCAACCTTGCTTCCTTGACCCTATGTGGCTGAGAGCCTGTGACCCAGACACCCCAGAAAACAGTGGAATGACGAGGCACTAGAAGCAGCAGGACAATGTTGAGTATTTTTGCACTTGTAATAATTTGAACACTCATTTCTTTGGTCTTGTTCTTGCTTAGTATATTGAGTTGAGCTAAAATGTATCTTTTTTGAAGTTTTTATTACTATTTGGTAAAAATATTTGGGGCTGCAGAGTTAGCTCATAGATAGCTGCTGCAAGCACAAGGTCATGAGTTCCATCCCCAGTACCAAAAAACAAAAACAAAAAAAAGTGTATTTAATCTGCTGTACAGTGCTGAATACCTAATAGTAGAATTTTTTAAGTTGCATTTTCTTCTGGCACTTCGAAGCGATTATAGTCAATTTTACTTTTTACTCAAATATTTGTATATGAAGACCAACTTTCCTAATTTAATATGCATTCATTTACCTATTTTATTGTATATCTATGTAAAATTCCTATGTAGGAATACCTCAGAATTGCAAGGCATCTTTTGAAAACCAGCCTTTTCTTCATGATAGGATACAAAATTTTCACCTTCTAAATTTTTTTAGATTTTTCTTTGTTCACTGGCTGTATGTTCAGAGGTTTCTCATAAGACATTTACAAGTTACAACAGTTCCTTTCCTGAACCACAACATGACATGATGGGTGAAGACATTTGTCTTTTTCCTTGTAGAAGAGAAAAAAAAAAAAAAAGCAAATTCAATTTTAAAGGTAAAATAGGTCTCACCGTTTTCATTTTATTTAAACACTAATTCTATAAAACAAAAGACTTTGACAGACTTCAGTGAGACTTAACTAAATAAAATACTCCATATATAAAGCAACATTTAAAGTGATGCTTTCTCCTCGTATTATTTATCAATATTCTATTCCTTGCTAACTGTGTTACCAGAACTGCTAATATTTAGAATAGTGTGATTTACTAGCAAAAATAATTCTGAAACATTATAATGAGTTATTAAGGTGGTCATCTGTCTAAACTGTTTTTTAAAAGATTTTCAATTAAAACATGCACGAAAAGCAGGACAAGGAAGATTAGAAAATGGATACATATGTTTCTCAATAACTGAGATGACTCACAATTTTGCAAAAGGAAAAACTTAGAAACATCAAAAGTAAGCAAGTTATGACATTGCCAACTGAAGAGTTCAACATATACCTTTGCTAAACTTGTTGAAAGCTCAAGTTTTGTCACTGTTAAGCAGACAGTCAAAGGATGATACATACGCACATGGTACCAGCAAAAAGTTTCTTTACACTTAATGGAGAAGTGGAAAATGAATTTTACCAAAAAGTAACCTCTTTTCGCTGATATTTCCAGCTCGCATTTGAGTTGGGGTAAGAAAAAAGATCAAAATTAGATAAGAGAGGAAAATTGTATAAGAGTGAGCAAGATAAAGAATTTGGAAGAAAAAACAAGCATGTCCTTTTATTAATGGAATATCCAAGGTCTAATAAGACACATAGATGTTTCAGTACATACGAACAGGGCACTGTAAGTACTGCAGTTGATATAAATGAAAGCAGTACACTATTGTACAACAGGATGATAATGTTAGTAACAATACACTGTATTCCTAAAGAATACTAGAAGATTTCTCACCACAAAAACAGGCAAGTATATCAAGAATGCATATGTTAACTTTGCATCCCATAATGTACACACATGTCACAACACACACAATTTATATTTGACAATTAAAATATTTTTAAATAAAGGCAACAGAATCAAACAAGCTCACATTGTTTTTTCACCATTATTAAGAAAATTTTTAGTCTCTCAAAGATACTTTAATGAAATGCTAAGTATACTGATTTAATAACTATATTGCATACATACATTGAAATAGTATCCTCTGCCCCATAGAATGTATATTTATTGCGTTAATAAAAAAGTTTAAATATGTGAAGAAATACGAATGTCAACTACCCTGATTCAATCATTACACACTGTACTTCTGTATCAAATTACCATACTCTACCTTACAAATTTATAAAACTTAAAAATCTTCTTTAAATTTTATTTTTATTTACTTATTTCTTTTGGTACCAGGGATCAAACTCAGGACCTCACACTTGCCAGGCAGACACTTATGCCACTGAGCTAAATCCCTGGCCTTAAAAATCTCTTTAATGAGTAACTTTTTAAGATTTTTTTAAAAAAAATTTTATTAGTGCATATTAGTAATACAGAAAACTGAGGGTCACTTGGGAAAGTAGTCCATGCATCAAATATTTTATTTTCAATTCCATTGCTTTTCTCTTTTTTCCTTCCCCTCTCCCTGATGATCCCTTTCCCCATCTCTAAAAGTTTACCTTCTAGAGTTGTCATTTCTTGACAGTTAACTTTATTTTTGCTCTTTCATGGTAGTGGGGATCAAACCCAGGCCTTCACACTAAGCTACATTTTGATCCTTTAAAAAATGTTATTGGGTTTGGTTTGGTTTCGAAGACTGGGTCTTACTAAATTACCCAGCGCTCCAACTTATGACCCTCCTGCCTCAGCCTCTCACTGTCCTGGGACTGCTGGCATGCACCACCATGCTGGTCTTTTAACAGGTCATTTTAAGTGTACATTGCTAATGAAAGCTGAGCAACTATGAAATGTTGCTGTTGAAATGCAGGAAGCAAGGGATTTATAGTTTAAAAATCAATACTTCGTTATGAAACTTCACCTTTTCTTTTTGTCGCATTCAGAGAAAGATCTACAAAAAGTACAAGACACAGCTGGACACAGGGAGAACTGCGGATCAGAGTTCCAAAGTGGGCGTGGAGTTGAGAATCCTGAGTATCATGAGAACAAGGAAAACTTAAATGAGGATTTGATGAAGTCATTTACATGATGATTGACAAGTTAACATTCAGGTTCCACCGACCAATACTTGCAGGCAATCAATGTCAGAAAAAGGGGTTCTGGCAGTGCGTGCCTGCAGTCTCTGAAAGATCCAAAGCAAGCTTAGCGGGGAGTGGTGAAGACGGGGGCTGCATTCGACAGCAACCTCTAGGCTGACTCTCTGGGCTCGCTTTGAACTCTTTTTCATCATTATTTTATGCGGCAGCTTGTCTTTATGCTGGTAGAAGGGAAAGGGAAAACACAGGAGACTAGCCTTTAGTTCTAAATCAAAGCTATGCTTTACTGATTGCTGGAGTGGCTTTTCAAAGGCAAAGCAAGCGGGGGCATTAAAATTCCTTGTTTCTGTGGGCGAGGAGCTGAGGTTCTTTTTTTCTTTATTTTTAATTCTCAGTAGCAAAAAGAGTGTATTTCAATGTATCTTACATTTACGGTGAAAATCCTCAGTATTTTTTTTTTCAGTATGACTGGCACTTGCGGAAGAAAAAGACAGGAAAACACAAAAAGGGAACCTGCAGAGGGTGTGAGGGGGGTCTACTGTGATAAAATTTCAGAACCAGAAAGGTCCAGGCCCCGCCCTTTCCTTACACACTCTTTTCCGTGTGACCTCAGGGGTCTAAGAGGTAAGATCAGTTGCCTCCTATGACCCAGACCCAGAAAGTAGGGATCTCCCTAGATTTCTATTGCCGCCCTTTCCCCGCCGCGCTGCCTCTAGCGTTTAGTGGAAAAACTAAAGGAAAAGGTGAGAAGGTGGAAGGACCGGAGGGGTCACAGTTAGCTGAGGCAACATCCTTTGCCTCGACTAAGAGAAGCAGCTCCTTCTAGGCACCCAACGCGCTGGACCGAAGTCTCAGGAACGAAGCAGTGCGCTCTCCTCGCCCTCCACACCTTCCAGGCTGATCCAAGCGGCCCTAGGCCCTCCAGCACTTCGTGGGCTGGTTCTTTAAAACACTCGCTCGCCTGGGCCTTTGGGGTTTCTTTCTACCCTTTTCCTCTTCCGTCTCTCCTTGTCTTTATCTGGGAGTACTTAAGCGCAAGTCGTATTGGCACCTCGGGTAGACAGGAAAGAGAGCTGGGTTTATTTCAGCACAAGTCCAGAGAACCATTCCCGCCGTCTCCCTGTCTTGGACACACTAGGGAGCCCTCCAAGCAGCGCGGCTGGCGGGGAAGGGTTGCGCATCTGCGGGTGGGGGGGCGCGATCTGCCTGCCCTGCGGAGGCGCGGGGTGGGGATGGCTGGCACGCGCGGCACAGTCGCCCCTGGGAGCCGCCGGTGCCGAGGGTGGGCAGGGCAGGGACGAGGGCAGCGGCAGCGCGCGGGCTGCAGGGAGGCGCACAGGGTGGCGCTGGCTGCGTGAAAGACGTCTTTGTGCGAGACCCGGCGTGGGACAAGGAGAAGGGAGCGCAGAGCTAGGACCTGGTGGCGGGACTCTGGGGCGTCCCCACACTCCCATTCCCGCCTCGCAGGAGCAACCCGAGGAGCGCCGGGAGGGGGCGGAGTGGCGCTGGAGAGGTTTCTGAGCCGGGGGCGCTGAGTGTGTGTGACTGGGGTCTCTCAGGCTCTCCTTGAGGCTGGAGTGGGGGGAAAGCAGTTTCGAGGAAGTTGGGGGTGGGGAGAAGGCTTGAGAGACTTGGCTCCCCGCCCTCTCCCCTTGGTGGCAGAGAGATCGCGCAAGCAGGGAGATCGCAACTTCAGCCAGGAGCTCGAGCCGAGAGTCGGGGGGCTGGGGAGCGACCCTGGGCCAAGCCAACTCCAGCCCCGGACCCTGGCGCCCCCCCCCCCCACCTGGGGTGAGGGGCGGGCCCCGCGCTGCCTTCCCCTAGCGCCCTGGCCGCGTGGCTTGCGGCTTATTTTCCCAGCTGGCAAGCGTCTTGCTGCAGACAAGGGAATGCCTGTGGTGAGTTGTTTATTTTGTTGAAGTTTGCGGTGGGCCAGGGGGAACGTGGGGGGACGAGTGGCAGGCAGCGACTGGGACTGTTTGGTTTAGGTCTCCATCCACCTGTGTGGTATAAATCTGCCAGCCTCGGGCGGCGGGGGACCGGGGTGAGAAAGCCCTGGCGCCCCAAACGCCCCCTCCCTCGCGTGCGCCAGTTGGAGACCTAGTGCCCGCATGTGCGTCCCCGCCGCTGGAACCCACTAAATCGTGACCGTGGGCCGTGTTGACTCGCCGATGCGGTCAGCGCCCAAGACCCCCGGGTCAGCTGGTCGCTGACCTTCCTTACAAGTGCCCTGCCCGGTTCCCGTAGCACAGTGGCGCTGAGGCTCGGTGGGAAGGGCGCTCATGCAATTCGTGGGAGCTCGTCCTGGAGGCTTCTGGCGACAAGTTCGCTCAGGAGTGTCCAGTCCACCTAGTGCTACGCTCTGGGATCCCGGGTCGGCCGGAGTTCCTCAGACTTCAGGCTGAAAGGTGGTAGGAGGCTGGTTCCCGGGGGAGCCCAGAACCTCCAGGGTATGCTGTTAGTCTCCCCGCGCGGCTGCGTTTGCCTGGAAGAAAAGCCTAAATACATTAGTGAGCTGGTAAAGCTTTTAAGGCCTTCTTGGGAATGAGTGGTTGGCTAATGAAAGGTTAATTTTGTTTCGAAGGGAAGGCTGCACTGGTTTCCTGAGATAAATGGACAGGAAGCACATTACCTCCGCGCGCTGGCAAGCGGCTCCCAAATGCTTTTTGCACCTGCCGCTGGGAGCCGTGTGAGCAGCAGCGCAGCCCGCAGGGAGCGCGGGGGCCGGGCGGGTGCGCGCGGCTATGCGCCCCTCGCGCGCCTCGGGCTCTCCGCCTCCGGGGGCTCAGCTCTCACGCAGAGCCCTGGGGCTTTTCTCTCACACCCAGGTCCTGCGCGTTCCGGAGCTCGGGGGCCCCCTGATCCCAACGAAGCCCCTGCAGGAGCGGAAGGGTTAAGAATGATGTAAGTACAAATCACTCTCTGCTGGCCGCGGGGATGTCAGACTCCAGGCCGTTTCAGTCGCTGCTTTGCTCACCTGATTGGGAGCAGTGGGTGAGCCCTGAATACAGTGGGCTGTAATCGCAAACCTGGGTCTGATTCTGCTTTGCCGTGCCCTAGGTGATCTGTTAAGCAGGCAGTGATCCTCCGGTTAGATTTCTGGAAACGGAGACATAGTAACTGGGGAACAGTTAAGACATCGAGTACGAGCTCAGGAAATGAAACCGCATCTTGTTGAGAATCCATTAATGTTTCTGGCATGTGTTTTAATCCTATCCACCTGCACGTTCATATGGTGGTGTGCTTTGCTGGGTTCCTTAAAAGTTATGTTCTGATCTCGCCTTTGCTTCCTGAAAACAAAGAGGAGGGAAGAAAGAATACAAGTGCCAAGAAGCAGGGTGGATTGTAAGTTGAACAAGTTGTATCACATCATGATTTTTTTTCCTGATTAAAATGTAAAACCTTTACAAGTTATTGATTTTATGTTTATATCCCAGCTCCCCTGCCAAATTTTTATTTGTAGCGTCCAGAAATCCTCCTTAACTTGTGGCCCTCAAGCTTGACGAGCGGCTGCACAATAAACGGCCATTCCGCACGCTCTCTTTCAGAGCTGATCCCAGACCTCACCAAGGGTCCACGTTTACCCGCAAGTGTGTCAACTGGCCTAATGTCATGAAAACAAGAACCACCTTGCGGTTTAATTGTGAAAATTAGCATTTTCCTCTAGCGGCTGAACACTTAAGTAGCAATAAAAAAGGGAATTGTTAAGCTTATAAATCTTGAGCTTGTCAAATTTTACAACAGCAGAGCAATAAAGCACCTTAGAGGAGATGAAGCTTTTCCTCTGAAGAACGGCTGTTTCTTGACACCAGGATTTGCGGTGACTCGAGGACGCCCTCTGTTGATTAAAAAAAAAAAAAAAAAAAAAACTAGAGCACCTCTAAGGAACAGGTTGGGGAGGCAGAGAAAAGAAAACGTAGAAAGTTAGCAGCAGAAAGACCTAAATCACGTTTAATTCATTGATCCTTAACTTGGTGTTATATGTTTTGAGTATGATGAATAAAATGGACTGCTTTTGCATAGGGATAGAAATCGAGTTAGGAGGAAAATCCCCTGGATTTTGCTGTTCTTTGTCACGGAAATATTTTTTTTTTAAAGCGCAGTGTTATATGATTACTTTTTAAAAAGACACTACAATTATATGAATTTTACAAATTACATGTAGTGAACACAAGAGTACACTTTTGCTTCAGTATTTAAGTCACTGCATTATCTAAAATTATCCGATATCCCCCACCCACCCCTCACCTGGCCCTCAGAAGTCATTTCTCCAGGCGACGCTGAAGCTGTTATTAAGCTTATTAAAGATAGACCCAAGGCTTGGATTATCTCGTGGATAGTGAAAGGTGTGTTTACCACGTGAGTCATCAGAGTATGAAGTAATGAAAAGTTACAATAAAAACAGATCCGTGTCCTTCATTAGGGACCCAGCGGTTTGAGCAATTTACAATGTGTCTAATGAGTAAGCCGGTGAGACCTAAGGTTTGCCTCCAATTATCCTGGGCCATTGATTAGCACGTTGTAACGTGGAATATTCACGTGTCAGTGGTTGGTACGAAATACCTAACTGGAGGTTCTAATACAACGGAGAGAGCTGCAGGCTGCAGTTTGGATAGAGCAAGTGGATTTAACATGGCAGCGTTGAGCGGTGCGGCCCACTGCAGAGACCAGTAAAGTATGGAGTGGCCCTGGCCTTGGGGCGACTCCTGAGAGGAGATAGCACTTCACGTCCTGATAACAAATTGCAATCTATCATCAGTCTCACAACGGCTTCTCCCTTCTCCATTGGGTAGTCCTTTCCCTTGCAGAGGATGGTTTTTTCTTCCGTTTTGGACCCCTCCAATCTCAAAAGTAGAAAACTATCACTGAATTAACCTAACAGACTGTGGAAACCTGTGGAAACGCCACTGAACAACAAAATCGTGACATAATTACCCTGCATAAAAATTCCCCACTCCCATTTCTCTAATTACACTATGACCTAACACGTTGAAGTTCGCCCACTCTCAGACCCCCTCCTCGCCACTTCGAGGCAGGGAGATGTCAAAAAAAGCAGCGGCCGCAGGTGTCCACAGCCGCTCCGAGCTGCTCGGATCCCGACGCGGCGCGGCGCTGAGTCCCTGAGCGGGGCCGCCACCTACTGCGGGGTTCGGCTAGCTGCGGGCGGCTGCGGGGAGGGGTCCTGAAGCCCGGCGGGACAGCCGCGGGAACAGCGCCCACTTCCTCCCTAGGGCTGCACTGGGCGGCCGGGCGGGGGGGAGGGGCTACGGCTAAAAAAACTTGGAGGAAGCTAAGTCCGACCGCCCTCTTCCCAGGAGAGGTTAAAGGCCGGTCCTCTCAAGGAGGGGAGAGTGAGAGTTGCCATTGCTGATTTCCATTGGGTGCGAGGAAACAGTAAATCGCGGAAGGGGGTGGAGGAGACAGCAGAGGCGGAGGAAGGGAGGCCTGAGCTCTGCAAAAGAACCCGCCGCCCGCGACGCGGAACTCGAATTACAGCTCGCTGGCGGGAGGCGGGGAGGCGGAGGGACGCACGCTTTGAGCCCCTTGAGGGGCGGGACGGGCCCGCGACGCGCGCTTGAAGCCAATGGGGAGTGCTGAAGGGGGTGCGGCCGTGGGTACAGGCGTCGTCAATTGGCTAGCAAGGAGGGGGCGGGGCATCAGTGTGGGGCTGAGATTGATTGACCGGGAGGCCGCCTCGCAGATATCCGGGCCGCCAGCGGCTGCTCACTCGGGCTGCTCCGCTGCTGTGGGTCCACGCCCGACGAGCCCACGCGGGCCAGGGCCCGGGCCAGGACCGGGGCCGGGGCCAGGGCTGGGGCCAGGCGTCTGCGCGCTCCAGGCTCCTCTCAGCCCTTGCTCACCGTCTTTGTATCTTCTCTCCCGCCTGCTCCCCGCCTGCCGCGATGCCTCCGCGCCCCGTGGCCGCTGCCGCCGTCGCCTCGCTCCGCCCGCGGCGCGCCGATCGCTACGGCGGTGGCGGCCGCCCATGTCCTGCGCTGGCCTGAAGGAGGAAGAAGAGGAAGCGAGGCACGCCCGCGAGACCTGCATGGACGGGCATGGGCTTGAGAGCAGCACCTTCCTGCGCCGCCGCTGCCGCCGCCTCCGCCACCTTTGGGGCTGAGCCGCGCCGCCGCCCTCGGCTCGGCCCGTCGCCGCCGCCGCTGCTCCTGCTGCTACTCAGCCTCGGGCTGCTCCACGCAGGTACGGCCCGCGCGCGGGGGGCTGCGGGGACTCGGGCTTTGTTCCCACGGCGGAAACGCGGTGGGAGAGGCCTCCCCGGGCGGTGACCGGCACCTCGCTAGGTAGCGGCAGCGGGAACGCGCCCCTCCTCCCCGCCCCGCCCAGCCCTGCCCTCGCGGCGGACCGTTGATAAAGTCCCCCACGGCGGCCGCTTATCAAAGATTACCGGGCGGGGGCCGCGCGCCGGAGACAAATGTTCCGGATGCTTTATTGCTCTCCGCCTCGGTGTTTACTGAAAGGCGGGGCGCGAATCGGGTTCCCGCCGCCGCCGCCTCCTCGGAGGGAGACATGCCCGGTTGCTTCCCGGGGGGCGGCGGCGTCCAGCGGGGCGAGGGCGTCGCTCAAAAGGGCAAGGTTTTTCACCAGGGTGTAAACGTGGGGTTCATCTCGCAGTGATTTAGAAGCCTGTGAACGGGGTCCGCTGGGTTGGCCCGGGAGATTGGATTGACAGATCGCGCTCCCCCGGGAGGCGACGCTGCCCACCGGCCACACCGGCGCTGCTCCTCTAAAACACTAGTGCATTGCAGTCCAGGATCCTCTTTTCAAGTAAAGCAGCGCTTGTGTTTAGGAGTTTGCCAAGATGAGGGATTTTTCTTTGATGCCAAGTGGGAAGGGGAGCTCACCCCGCAGCGGGAGAACAGCGAACGTTAGATGACTTTTTTTTTTTTTTTTTTTTAATTTGAGGCTCGCCCTCTTCTGTGTTTGCACGACAGCAGTCACAAGGCTCTGAGCTGGAGAATCCAGAACTTTAAGGCCACCCAACGATGGGGAGTTTTTACTTAGTAGTGCAAGGTCATGCTGGCTGTGTTAAAACGGAGGTGGTGTAAGAGAGAAAGTGTGGCATTTAAGGAGACGACTTAATTTAGTTCTCACTGCACTGTGATGTATCAGCTGCCTCTAACATTGTCACTTGGACAAGCGACAAAAAGTGTTAATAGTAAGTTTTAGGATGATTAAAACTTTAAATTAGTAGCTTTAAACTTCAGAAAATAGCAGTCTGTGATGAATAGAAGGGAACATTTTTCACTCAGGGGCCAAAGGATATAGTCAAGTGTCTTGTGTGAAGAAGCAGTTGTTGGATTTCCAAAGTGTGTGTTTGATGAAATGGAAACTGGAATGCTAAGCTTGAGTGTGTCCCCCTTGGCTGGTTGGATATTGTTTCCCCAGGGTCGCCCTAGGGTCCCGTGACAAGATTGGAATGTGGCTCTTGAAGATTTTCTTTGCCAGCCCATGAGAGATTTAAAGAAATTGGTTTAAAGATTTAGAAAACTGAACTGCTTCACTTTTAAGAATTTGGAACGTGAAGCTCCTCTGGACATCCTTGTGTTCATGCTAATGTCACCATTAGATGCCAGCCAGAGGTGCTGTGGAGTTTGATGTCTAGGGAACAGTTGGAGGATTGGAGGGATAGATCTCCACAAGAAAAAGAGGGCTCCTTTTGAGAGACTGCTTTGAAGAGTAGGTGCTGTTGAGATGCAGGGCTTGTTTCCCCAGAGGGGAGGCCAGCAAGTGCTCTTTGCAGATGGGCTACCATATGTTTTATGTCTGCATTAATATCATTTCCCTCAGCACCCATATGGCCCTGCACTTCACTCAGTTCAGTTTCAGCAGATCTCGTTTCTTTTATTATAAACCAGAGGTTGTGCTGCACATTCGCTCGTGCAGTCCTGGTGTTGAGGAAACTGTTGGATATGAGGCCTTTATGTCTTGATTAAGTAAAAAATGACAGAGTGAAAGCTCTAGATTCACAAATTCTTAGCGTTTTCAGTCACTAGCATGAAAATACTGTTATTCCCATTATACATTATATGGCCCTAAAAACAGAAGCCTGTAACTACGATTTTGGATTCTCCCCTTGAGAAATTTCTTTGGTTTACATACACATATTTTCTGTTGGGGGCGTATTTTAAGCAAACCTCTGCAATTCCTGTGTGAAGAGGTAGTATGGGAGTTACTTGCTGATATAATTCATGGCCTTCTTGGCTACATCCTTGAGATTGTTTCTGCTCTCCACTGTCTTGGTACCTAGGAGGCTCACTTTACCGTCTGTAACAGGCGAAGTGTATATTGTCATAAATTCATGCAGCCTGGATATTTCTGGGTGTGTGCTACAGATTAGTTGTCTCACAGGAGCTTACCATGGAGCAAAATTGCTGACCCAGAGCACTTTATCTCTAGTTCACCCTCCTCCTCCATCATCTTCATAGTGGAAAGCTGTTAGAAACCCTGTGAGAAGCAAAAGGACTCTGTTAAGGTTTGTAATTTCTCAAAGCAGTCAACACCTACCTGCTATGAAAATGGAAAAGTGAGGGGAAGGGGAGGAGGAAGGAAGGATAAAGGCTAGGAATCTACATTTGCTTCCCTGCCCTCTGAGCAGTTGTGTCTGCATTACCATACTGTTCTTACTTTTGATATTTTATGACTATTTGGAATAATTATAAGTAAATGTATGCTTGGATGGATTTTATAGACCATAAAAAGAACAAGTAGGTACTTCGAGTTTAGCGGAAAGTTCTTGTGCTGTCATTTATTTGTAGTCTTGGAACTGTGTGGTACCTGTGGTGGAAAAGAAATGAGATTCCAGGAAAATCACTGGGTCCTGGCTTAAGATGCAACCCGGACAAGACCTAATAGCGCTTTGCTTTGACTTTTCCACCTGTAAAATGGCTTTAAAGCCTTTTGGAATTTTATGTTTGTTTTATTTTTTGTTACTTTGCTGTAAAAAACAAACAAAACTGGAAATTACTTGTCCTGCTTTGGAGAGCAGAGCCTTATAAATATTGGGGTGGCTTTCTCTGTACTAAGCGAGCACAAAACATGTCAAACAAACAAAGATGATCTTGTAAGTTTTGTAAAAATATGATTTAGTGACTGCTGTAAATGCATAGCTCAAAACTCAAGTAATTTTAATGTTCTCCCTTACTCAGGTTAAAGTAAATACACAGTGTAGCCTACAATGTCTTCCCTCCTCCAGTCTCTGAAATTTAACAGAGGTAAAACACTTGTCATTAGAGTTTGTTGCTTCCCACTATCTTCTCCCATGTAAAGTCCTAAACAGAAATTGGGAGTTATTTAATTCAGATTTAAAAAGTTTATTACTAAAAATATGAAACAATCTTTCTAAAAGAATATTTGGGTTAATATCTTATGTTTTTATTAGATGAAGACTGAATCTTGGTATTTTCCTAAAATCTGTTGTAGAAATAGTTGCATATTTAAGAATAATTAGCCAGATGTGGTGATGCAGGCCTGTAATCCCAGCCCTCTAGAACTTGAGACAGTAGCATCACAAGTTTGAGCCCAGCCTAGGCAGTCGAGTGACTTCATTGAGCCAGTGTCTCAAAAGTAGACCGAGGGGATGGTGCTGAGTACAAGTCAGACAACCTGCAAAAGTCATCGCAGAGCCTGTCTTAGAGCAGCGTATTTCTCAGAGGGGAACCTAAGACCTGGGGTGAGGTTTCCTCCACAGCTCTCACGGACCCATGGAGCTTCATACAAAGAGAGGTTACAGCTCATTCCCACAAAATTGGAGATTCATAGTATGAGTATTTCTCTCTTTAGCAACTCTTTGTCCCCACTTTATGGAACAGAACCGAGCGTTGTCACAGTTTTTACAGTGTTTTATGTATCTTCAATTTGAGAAGTTACTGGCGAAAAAGATAATTTGAAAATTGATTCATTTAAATACAAGGCATTTTTGTTAAATTTAAATACATTTAAATACAAGGAATTTTTGTTACTTCATTTTAGTTTTGTTTGATTTATATGAATTGTTGATAAAAGGGGAAAAGTAAGGTTTTGTGTACTCTAAGGAATTGTTTTATGGTTCTGATTTTCTTTCTGGAAAGGACGCAGTTGGGATCCTCTGTCTCTGCAGCATAATTTCAGTGTTGTACTTCTTCATTTAGTGCACTTGTCCTTCCAATTCTGTGTGAGAGCTTCAATCATTAAGGCAACAGATGGCTATTAAGGGAGAAGTAAATTCCTTGATTGGTCAGGTACATTAACAGCTTCTACATTTTTGTAGAAACCTATTATATTGTATCTTTTTATGTACAGCTCATTAGTAACATGCCTGAGGAAGGGTAGAATAACTTAGTACCTGGATGCTTTTGTGACACTGTTACCCCATAGTCATGTTAAAATCAGGTAAAGGTGTTTCACTAATCATGCTGTATAATTTAGGATTTTACCCTGCCAGAGGTATGGAAGCTTTAATCACGGTTTTGTGCATAGTGCTGCTCTTAACAGTGCTTTCAAAAACAAATTACTCATGCAGTTTTCAAAATCAAAACAAAGTTCATGTCTTTGGCTTTGCTTTAGAGCAGGAGAATCTTTCTCAAAATTTATAACCAAATAGCAACCTTGATAAAATATTTCTCTTACTATTCCCTTGTAATTTTGCCATGTTCAGTCACGGTGGCCCATGCTTTGAAGTTTTAAGTTAACCAATGGCGCAGTACCTTCCTAGTGGCCTAATTTGAGAAATATCCTGGAGCATCATGCTGAAGGCTTCTTAAAATAGGAGTCTATGACATAGAGCCAACCGTCCCCAGAGGCAGAAGTCATTTTCTCATTTAGCTCAGGAAGTTATGAAGTGTTTATTCATTTGGTCTTATCTTCCTTCCCATAGGTGACTGCCAACAGGCAGCCCAGTGTCGAATCCAGAAATGCACCACCGATTTCGTGGCCCTGACTTCACACCTGAACTCTGCCATTGACGGCTTCGACTCCGAGTTCTGCAAGGCACTTCGAGCCTATGCTGCCTGCACCCAGCGAACTTCAAAGGCCTGCCGTGGCAACCTCGTATACCATTCTGCTGTGCTGGGTATCAGTGACCTCATGAGCCAGAGAAACTGCTCCAAGGATGGACCCACATCCTCTACCAACCCGGAAGTGACCCATGACCCTTGTAACTATCACAGCCACGTGGGAGCCAGAGAACACAGGGGCGGGGAGCACAGCCCTCCCAGTTACCTCTTTTGTGGCTTGTTTGGAGATCCTCACCTTAGAACTTTCAAGGATCACTTTCAAACATGCAAAGTGGAGGGGGCCTGGCCACTCATCGATAATAACTATCTTTCAGTTCAAGTGACTAACGTGCCTGTGGTCCCTGGATCCAGTGCTACTGCTACAAATAAGGCAAGTGTATTTTCTTTTTTCCTCTTTCTACCCATAAATTTTCAACTGTGATCCTTCAGGCAATTTTTGAAATGTGGTACAAAAGCTATAGTGTTAAGGAGCCTTTTTTTTTTTTTTTGTCTTGGGAAACAGTAACAATTGATGAGTTAAATAAAAATTCATTAGTGAGGTACTTGCTCTGGTATGTAAAATATGAGTTTAAATTTAAAGGGACAATGATAATAGAAAGTAAACAGTGAAATTGAGTTCTCTGTGGAAAAGTTAGGCCTGTTGAATAAAAAAATGGGTGATTTTTTTCAACCCTGTCTTTTGGTGGGGGGGGGGGTTGAAGAAATCCACATTGAGATTCATCAGATGACAGAAGTGGGTGTTCCTAATAAAGCAGGTTGTGAAGTCTTAAGGCAGTGACCTATCAGGAAGCACACTTTATTGGCGATTTGGAAGCTATTGTAAGAATAATGTATGAACTCAAGATGGTGCATTAGGTTCTAACCTCTTAGTGACCAAGGAAATTAAGAATTAGTCATCACAAAACAATAATATGTAACCGTATTTTAACATCAGGGTCTCAATTCAATAGTTTTAAGTTTGAAGCTAAGAGAAAAGCTGGCAAAATTAATTTATGCTTACCCTGCCTACCACAGATTATTGTAGAAGAATTATCCACTGAGTTTCCAATTGCCAAGCCATGCTAATTCAATCATCAGTCATAAAGTCAAAAAAGACTTTAAAACTTTGTCCCAAGTAAACCACCTCCTTAACTATCATCTCTAACCACAAAACCACACATGCAGTCCACTGCATCTTGCTTTAATTTTCTCTATTTATTATTTCTCTTCATAAGTTGGTTTAGACTAAAATATAACTGACAGGGGTCAAGCTTTTGAAATACTTATGACTGTTCTTTTGATTCCAGGACAGCCTCTCTTGCCACCAAACATGTGTGACATATTTTAAATGAGTTTAAGTTATTTTACTTGGCATTTTGTGGAGGGAATTTTACAGTTCCTCGAGATAGCTGGAGACACCCAGGAGTGTCACAAATCTTAAGAGTAGAAATCATTGCTCTGAACAGAGAAGACTATTACACTAGCCCAGACATCTTAGTGGATCTCTGAAATGTTTATACTTAACTCCCAGGAAAAGCACAAGCTTGGCTTTTGCCTTGCAGAATCCTCCATCTCAAAATAAACATTTCTTCTTCTGGTTTTTATATGTATGCAAATATCCCACCCCACCCCACCCCCACATGGGCCACAAGACAGAATGTGTGCTTACTGTAAGGTAAAATGCAATTGTGAGTCATTGGTACAGTCATGGGCCCCCAGCCTGCAGATCCTCCATGACTAACTGCAAATGCAGGACAGCGGTTTCCTGCGAGTAGAGAAAGTCAGCATCAGGTACTCCGTCATCGAAGACTGAGGAGTCACTTTCACATAAGACCACAGAGACTAAAGCAGAGGTGTGTGTGTGTGTGTTTGGAGGGGGACATAGTGGTTTTTTCCGCAAGCACAAAGTTGTCTTTTCTAAGCCTTCCAGCCAATTATATCATTTCTGTTTGTTATTCAACTTTTCAAAATTCCAATAATTTCACTGATTGCAATGAAACTATCAGGGGCATAACCAGTAACCTGATGAGTATTATTATATAAATTGTGTACATTGAGATTCAGACCGTTCTACTTGAGTTAATTACTCTATCATAATTTATGGCAAACAAAAATGCAACTTTGTTTTATCCCTGTTTGGTAAGAACCAAAGTTTTACCCGTTAGAAAGAAGGAAGGAAAGAAAGTAGTTCTCTGACATAAATTATGTGGACGATGAGAGCGTGTGGTTTTTTAATTGCACTATTGGAAAGCGCTTTGCCACATCTGGTGACCATGCTGTTCAGCAGCAAATTGCTGTATGGTTTCACAACCTCTCGTAGTTGATGGGGTTTTGTGTTTTATCCCCCTTTTCCTTTTCGTAACTCTCCAGAGCCCTCATAAGCATCTGGAAGGTTATTCTTGGTCTGTCACAAGTCTGGTATGACCAATGCCAGGGAGACCAAGCAGGGGCCTAAAGTCTTGCAGTGCAGTTTCCTTTCACCCTCCCAGGGCCAGAGCAAAACCTTACACAGCACTAAATATGAAAAGATGGCAGTAATGAACATAAAAGCAACATGAGGCAAGAAGTATTCACAAAACAAGTTCCCAAACAAGTCTGATTTTTTTTTTTTTTTTTTTCCTTATCCACCATGTTGGTTTCTTTTAAAAAACAAAAAATAGGTCGTGAAAGTGAGTTCAGCCTCATTGAGGACTTGCACAGTGCTGAGGCCAGCTGGCCTGTTGCGGCATAGAAGTTGCTCGGTTTAAACACGCATTCATTTCTGTGCCGTCCGCTCTGCACTGTAGGGCTAGGTAGGGCTGGCATGATTTGCCCAGTGAGTTTACTAAGATGGCTCAGTTCTGGGAACCTGGTTGTTGTAAAACAAGCTATCTTCATGCCTAACCAGGAAATCTCTGCCTGCCTGTGAGTGCCCCCCTTTCTCTCATCACAAAACATATGATGGGGAGAAAATCTAAACAGAATGAAAGTAAATGAAATCATCTGTGCTCGCAGGGCCATTTGTTAATTGAGCTGCCTTTTTCATGCTGACGAGTGAGTCGGGCAGAGTGCCCTACACTGTGATGCCTCATCTCCCCTGTACACTGCTCCTTGGGAAAAGCAGGGCTGTGTTCCAGGTGGTCCCAGTGTGCACAGGATGCCTCTCAGGGCCTTCCCAGCCCGCTCTGCTCCTACTCTCTGAAGGAGTCCCATGGCTTGGCCAGCTCGCAGGTAGATGTGCTTTTGAAGGGGAATGCGGGTTGGTTTTTCATCTCCACCCCGGGCTGCAGAGGTTTCTGGCACTCCTACACACCTGGGCTGCCGTCCACATCAGCTCTGGGCCATCTTCCTCACCTTGAGCTGTGAGGGCGGCTACAGGCATGCAGGCACAGGGGAGAGGAGAGGAGCAGCCTTGGAACTGGCAGACTTAGCCATACGGGGAGGAAAAGCAGGTTTTTCTTTTAGGGGTGGCAGGGAAGGGTTGAGAGAGAGCCCCTACTCGAGGCTTCAGAAAGGACACAGGTCAGTGATTTCGTCCCTTCTTCCACGTTGTCTTTGCCACCTGCCTGTTCTTAACTCGAATTTGGTCTGTGTCTCTGTTAAACAAAGATGTTCAGTAAAGACCTGTATTTGCCATGATCACAGAAGGTGTTTGGGAAATACATTCGTCATCTTAGAGAAGCATGCTCTACTTCACCAGTGCATTCCTAGTAGCATATATTTAACTTGCTAGTGCTGGGGGTTTAGCTTAATGGAAGAGTGTTCACCTAGTATGCACAAGGCCCTGGGGTAGACCTCCAGTACCACAAGAAAAAAGTCTGCGAAGTATATTTAAAATGATACACCCTCTAGTATATTTCAGATTGCACACCTAAACACTGGCAGTATTTTTGGAGATTTTTCCAAGCAATTAATGGTTTCATTTTATTTTTTCTTTAGTTTTGATGTAATCATATCCTTTACTGCCATTCTTTTTACTTTATTTTCAGTAGCAGTAAAACAAAAAGTAGAAGATTGAAGATAACAACAGATACTATTAAATATCTTCTGCCACACACTTTACCGTGCTTCCCCATAGGGCAGTTTCCCTTTGGGAACAGAGTGTCCTCTTGTGCTAACCCAAACCAGCTGACTGCTGGCGAGGAGCATGGAGGTTTGAGGTACCTGTGTGCTCTGGCTTCTGCCCTGGGCCTGCAGCCTCTGTGACTCTGCGGGTAGCCCCTGGTGCCGGTCCCCAACACAAAGACAGGCCTTACCTATGGTGGAGATGGAGTGGGTATTAGTATTTTTTTAAATTCCGTAATCATTCTTAAATCTCAAAGTTTGTAATTTTCAAGAAGTTCCTGAAACTGCACTAGAAATGTAGAAAATTTTAGTCTTGTCCACTTTTGGTTAATGTCTCCTTCAATCTGTAGAACTGAAAGTTTCCTGTAGCTGTTTCCTAGTAGGCTCTCAGAGTAGGAGGTGGTTCTGCTGCTCTCCAAAGCCCTCGGCTTGCAGGTATTTTTCCACAGCAGTACGCAAATATGTAAACCAACATTCTGGGTCATTCTCTATTGGTTCCTAAATTAGAACTAGACAAACCTGCATTGCAAAGACTTTCAGCTGTCATTTTTTAAATCTGTGGATCACGGTTTGTAAAGCCTTCTTGCCTGGTACATTTTTCAATAGCCAAGTTTCTGCAACACGTGTTTTGGTATCTACAGAGATCGTGTGAGCTATGTGGTAGTGATCTCTTTTATTTTTATAGACCAAGAAAGATGTTTCTTCCTGCCATTGACAACGCATTATGCCTTCACTGTGTGGGCCCTGTTTTTGCATGTAGCGTGACAGGAGGACATAAACAGCATTTTCTTTGGGACTATACGGCATTTTCCTTTCAGAGACCACAGACTGTCTTGCAGATATATTGTAGCTAATCCTTAAAATCTGACATTTTTATTTTTATTTGTAATATGATTATGTAGATAATTCTTGCCATATCTTTGAGATTTATTCTTTATCATGATCCTCCATGCTTTACAGAAATGCTAAAAAGTTCTAAGAATGGTTGAGGCATCCTGGGCACAGTGGGAAAGGAGTTTGTAGTTAAAGCTCCCTGCTCAGTACCAGGATTTCTCTGAAAGGATGTGTGATTAATGTGGTGTGGCATTTGTAGCACTGAATGTTAAAGAACCCACTCTACAGTGCAGAAACTCGGCTATTTTCAAAGTTTCTTTGTAGAATATTGGTGAACTGTGTTCATAAGCTGGTCTGAGAAATTACCTGACCAATTGACACATGAAGAGAAGGGCTAGCAGAGAGCTCGAGAGATCACCTGCTGGTCCCTCATCATCACAAGGTACGCCCAGCCCTGCCTTGGTTGCTTTCACAAGGTGCATTCTTTCCTCCTGGGATCTGGTACAGTTTTTC